CAGCAGTGAGCGGTCTTTATTACAGGAAGCTCCTCACACTGCACAGATCTGGAAAAAATACATAAAGCTCACCAAGATTCAAGAATGACAAGGAACATACTGATAGGAGGAGAGAGCAGAATGACCTCATTAATCCGCATTTGCTCCTTTACGGTTCAGTCAGCAGGCGTATGGGGGTGGAGAGAAGACGCCACTCTATTGGGCCCACCAGAAGCTTCAGCCATAATGTGCAAGCAGGTCCAGCATATTTGCACGTTATGGCACGCTCACCCTGTACATCCCCCAGCCATATGACTGCTGGAGCCTCCCTCATTGCTCCCAAGCTGCCGCTTCCATCTGCACCCAGTCTGTTCCCAGTTTGGAGTCCCAGGCCTGAGTGATGTAACTTCATCAGAGAATCATTCCCAGACTGACATTCCCATGCTGCGCGTGCTTGGCACAGGAGATATAAAGGGGTTGCATGTTAGCACGTTCGCATAGTGCGTAGCTGTGCGGGTGACACTCTCAGTGCATTACTAGATGGAGCAGAGGAGTGTAGGAAATTCCTAATCTAGTGGCAGCAGTGCACTGCGAACGTCGTTCACACAGCGGTATGCTGCGAGAAAGCTTCACAGTTCAGCCCCATAGGGTCTCTTCTGCCATAGAAATTATAACTCTCACGGTTCAGTTCTGCTTTAATGGTAAGTAGTCTGAACTAATTGGCTACGCCGTACCTTGTGGAAGAAGACTGTCTGTTGCAGCTCGTGGAGGTCGGTTGGTCCCATCTGAAGTGTTAGGAGTGCCAAAAAAGAGGTCTCAAAATGTTTGGCTGTCATCAATCTTGAGTCTTTTGGGTAATAAGGCATACAGATACAGCAAACGCGTTTTGTGGTACTCTTCTTTCTTCACGGGTATACAGTTTTGGGGGTTTTTTTCACGGTGCTCTGTCACAGTTTTAAAGGAGAACTATGGGGTCAGGGCTTTTCCCCATAGTTCTCCTTAGGGTAACGGGAGGACACAAACTAGCGTCCTCCCGTCACCCTAGGCTCAGTATACTGCGAGCTGCAGCTCGCAGTATACTGAGACGCCGCAGCTAAATCGGATCTTGACAATTGTGCCGGGATCCGCCCAGCTGCGTGACTGACAGCTGGCTCTGACTATCTAGAGGCAGAGCCAGCTGTACCCGCCCCCTCCCCGTCCGTTCCGCCAGTCAGCGCTGGCGGATCGGAGCGGGGAGGGGGGAATCCAGCAAGGGGGGAATCCGGTGACAGGATCGAGAGGTGAGCGAACGTCGGTATGTGTTCGCTCACCTCCCGATCTACTGAGCCGACCTGTGACAGTCTCATTGTCACAGGTCAGCTAGAACTATGAGGTGAGTGAAAAGCGCCCACCTCATAGTTCCCCTTTAAAGGATAGTCAGCACTTGTACCACCATTGCTGAGGGCTCTGTTTTCCAGCAAGAGGGGTCCCTGCACTCTTTAGAAGGGCCCGGGGAGAGGGGGTGGTGGGGTTAAACCGCTTGGAAACCTTAGCAAGGTATCTCTTACAATCCTATGATGTGACCCCCAGCTGGGGGCCCATAATTGCTCTAAGTCACCGCACCATACACTCATTCCTCTCCTTATACACAATACAGTCACCCCGTTCCCGTCTCGTGTGTTTACACAGCATCCAATTACACCCAACCTGAGCCGATTCACATCAAACTTCCCTCTGAGTCACCGCAAGGCCGAACAGCTGCAAAACGGCTTTACAGAGGCCGCCGGGCCGCCCCTAGAATGGAAAGAGACTTCGGGTTTCATTCGCAATCTTCCTCCGTAAATATACTGCGGAGGTGATCGGTTACAAAGGATCGAAGGAAAAAGTACGGCATCTGCCCCGGGAGGAAAACGAGGACGGAACGTCTTTTGCATTAAAATAGTCTGACGGTTAACCCTGGGCCATAAAGAGGACCTGTCGCTGTTTAAATATCCTTTATGTCAGGGGTAGGCAATCTTGGCACTCCAGCTGTGGTGAAACTACAAAATCCATTATGGCTGTGCCAGTCATGTTGGTGGCGGCACCCATTCAGGAAAGCTTGTAAAGCTGTGGGGCCCATTAAGCACTATAGCCCAGGGGTGGGCAACTCCAGCCCTCCAACCAGTGGCGTAACAATCACCATAGCGACCCAGGCGGACGCTATGGGGCCCGGGGCACAGGGGGGCCCGGCCAGGACATCCCCCTGATGCCGTGCGGGCCGCCTAGGTCGCTATGGCATCTACGGTTGCTGGCTGTCACTGGCGGGTGTGAGGAGGAACGTGTCGCTGTTAGATCACCGACAACCTGTCAGTGATCTGTGCAGTGGCACGTTCCTCCCCACAGCCGCTGCTGAGTCAGAGACAGCCGGCGGCTTTGGAGGAGGAAGGATGGGCCCGGCGTCAGAAGAGGAGGCAGGGGCCGACGATGGAAGAGGAGGGGGGGCCCGGCAACGGAAGAGGAGGGGGTCCCGGCGATAGAGGAGGGCGGGGCCTGCCAGCGACCATGGAGGCGGACAGCGGATTGAGGAAGAGATGTGCAGCCCACCTGAGACCCTGCAGAGACCACCATAGAGAGTATCTGGCGGGCTCTGCAGGGTCACTCTCATGTGGGCTGTTTGGGATCTCAGGTGGGCTCTGCAAGGGCATAACTAGAAATCACAGGGCCCCATACAAAATGTTGCTATGGGGCCCTGTGATTTCTAGCTACGCCCCTGCCTACAGCTGTGCTTTAACCACAAATCCCAGCATGCCCCTGCAAGTCATGTCTGTAACTGTCAGTCTTGCAAGGCCTCATGGGACTTTTAGCTCCACAACAGCTGGAAGGCCAAGGTTGCCTACCTCTGCTCTATGTCACAAGCTATTGAGCTGTTTAATATACTTAATTCACTTTAACTGCCAGATGCACATCCAGAACCTCTGATGTATAGTGCAAATATAGCTTATGGCTTCCAAGGAGTAGGGGTTGGGACCCAATATCTTGGAGCCTTTTAGTCCAAACTGCATATAGCTGTTTCAGGATAGGTTTTTTTGTTAATTTCCGCAGTGTGCGCATCGTTACAAGACCCCTGTGAACAATAAAAGTGAACCGTGAAATCATTGCACACAATAAAATGCACAAGAATGGTCCTCTTCCGGAAAAGAGGGCCACAATATCCCTAACCCCCCCCCAGGAGTGGCAAGGCACTGTAGTCCATCTAGCAGTTAAGCCAGAAGCACCCCGATCCTTAAAGGAGAACTATGGGGTTCGGGCTTTTCCCCATAGTTCTCCTTAGGGTAACGGGAGGACGCTAGTTTGTTACCCTAAGCTCAGTATACCGCGAGCTGTAGCTCTGAGTATACTGAGTAGTATACTGAGACGCCGCAGCCGGAGCGGATCCCGACATCGATGTTGAGATCCTCCCAGCTGCGTGAGTGACAGCTGGCTCTGCCTATCTAGAGGCAGAGCCAGCTGTACCCGCCCCCTCCCCCGTCCGTTCCGCCAGTCAGCGCTGGCGGATCGGAGCGGGGAGGGGGGAATCCAGCCCCTCCTCTGTCACGGCAGAGAGCCGTGACAGGATCGAGAGGTGAGCGAACGCCGGTATGTGTTCGCTCACCTCCCGATCTACTGAGCCGACCTGTGACAGTCTCATTGTCACAGGTCGGCTAGAACTATGAGGTGAGTGAAAAGCCCCTCCCCCTCATAGTTCTCCTTTAAGGACCTGCCAATGACGACAGGCCCCCGAAAGACCTGCACCCTCCATAGTTTGTGGCGCAAAAAATGCTTATTCAAAAATAAGTGCTGCAAATAAATAAGATTGAAGAAAATAGGTCACCAGCACTCCATAAGTTAAAATGAATGAGTCCTCACATCTCTTGCCTTGAAGAAGGGACCCTGTGTGGCCCCGAAACGTCGGCTCATGTTGGATTTCTGTGACATCATTGTCCATTAAAAGGACTCATTCATTTTAACTTATGGAGTGCTGGTGACCTATTTTCTTCAATCTTGTGTTTTGCACAGTGCCATCCGTGAAGTTACTTCGAGCACCATTTATTTGATTGTTGGCCGGGACTGCTGAAAGGTGTGCGGAGGGCACCTCCATCAATTGCATCTGCAAATAAATAAGGTGCCTTGTGCAAGACATGGCAGACCTTGCGGCTCTTAAAAAAACCTTCTCCAGACTAGTCAGAAGGCCTGTCTAAGAGGCGTGTGCAAGAAAAGCAATATGGTGACGTGACCATGGGCCACGGGTCACACTGTGGGCTCCCATACCCATAGTGTTTCTCTGGCACCCCTGGGACACCAACCCCAGGGGGCACATCACTGGGGTCTGCTTATGCTTCTAGCCCCTGGCCAGACAAGGGCAGCCCCATTCCTACCAGAAGGTATTAGCACCAGAGGGGTTCCTGCCTACAACTGGGGACAAGCTTGGTGCACCAGGCCAGAACCAGGATGAAGAGGAAACCCCCCAGAACCCACCTATCACTCCAGGAAGTAATGAACTGCCATCCCACCTGACAAAGACATCACTGTTCTTCAATGAAAACTGATAACAACAGATACTTCATTTGATCTTAACCAAAAGGCCAGGATAGGTGGCCATCATAAGTGCAGCGTATGGAAAGCATGACTTCTATGGAGAAGGGCTTGGGTCCCAATGAGACACTCTAACCATTCAGGTTATGGTGAGATGGGACTAAAGGAATCAAAAAGCCCTCCAAACAAATCAGTGCGTAGCACAGTAAAGCCTTCTTAGTACCGAAGGTATTCACATGTCTCATTCCATCACATATGCCAAAAATAAGAGGAGTAGTCCTCATTTCAGGACAGTCCACTGAAGATATGTGATGGAATGAGACATGTAAATGTCTACCCTACAGTATTTGTGTCTAGAGGGTTTGATTTTGTTTATGTCATTATAATTACTGTATATAAAAATGTGTCACTAGTGTGTATGTGTGTGCAAAGGCGGTAGACTGTAAGCTCCTCGGGGGCGGAGACAGAAGGGAATGTTTCCAGATGCACTGTAAAACGTTGAAGAATATTGCCTCTTTCTGTGAAGGGATGAAGGAAACAACAGACATAATGTATGTGTCTGTTTTATATTAAAATCCATTTTCAAAAACACCGAGGCAGACATACCTGGATAGAAGCAAAATCACTAGAAGCACACGCTCCGAGAATGGCAGCACCCACGAGGACCGACTCTACTTCTTTGGATAGGACGACGGGTAGACCTGTACATAAAAAAACACAATCTAAGAAATTCTCATTTATTTAAAGGAAATATATTTGTTTTCATTAAGGCCCGGTTCACACCTGGGGGTTTTGTAGCGCGTTCCTACGCTTTGCAAAAAGCTCAAACACCGAAATCCCATTATTTCCTATGTGTTATGGTTCACACCTGGGCGTATTACAGGCCGTATGAACGCGCTACAAAACGCCCTACGCCCAAAGAAGTACAGGAGCTTCTTTGGGGCGTATTTGCCACGTGTATCCATTGGGATACAGCCAGGTAGACCTCGGAAACGCGCGTTTGTCATGTGTTTTTTTTACCGCGAATCGTTGTAAAAACGTGCGACACGAAACGCGCGACAAACGCGCATATTCGATACGCCTAGGTGTGAACCCAGCCTTAGACAAAGCATGAGGGGACATTTATAATTGGCTTTTATATCAACATTTAGCATATAGCATTGGAAGGCTGGACTGCCATCCGTGGTGCAACTACAAACCCCAGCATGCATCTGCCTCTGAAAGTCATGCCTATGGTTGTCAGAGTCTTGCAATGCCCAATGGGATTTTTAGTTGCACCACAGCAGGAGGGCCCCTGGTCTATAGGAACACGACTTCTACAACGTATAGCTCACCCCATTATATCAAGCATGTAGTATATACAGTATATGACAATTTTCCACAGGGGTCCCATGAGACGTAAAGTTTATTTCAAGGGTTCCTCCATGGATCAAATGTTAAGAAAGGCCGCTCTCAATCAATGGTGTACTTAAGCTTTAAACCAGTGGTCCTGGGGGCTGAGTTGGCCGGTGGGGTAAAGGAATGATCTGCATGGCTCCGCCCACTCTAAATGAAAGAATAAACTCCTTATATTTTCCTGATTTGTGATGGAAGCGATGACATGTGAACACCTTCTGTGCGGGCAATGAAAGACCAGCAGCACGTAACGTCTGAAGATCATTAAGTGCAGTTTCACGCTACACCGCCAGCAAACATTATCCGTCTCTGGAAAAGTGAGTCACGGAGGACCACTCGACTCAATCAACCTGCTACAAAGAGGAAATTCTTTTCACAGTAGCAGATCCTAATTCATCAAAGCTGCCGCTCCGCACCGAGCGCAAGAGTCTAATCACACACAAAAAGATGTCTGATGACCTTTAGCCTCCGAGACGATGACATCACCCACAAACAAGTGTGAGATCATTGAATAGCCGGCCTGACAAGGCTTTGTAGATCCCGGCTAACCACAAACATCGACTCCGTCCCCAACACATGTGTTTTCCCGTCTCGTTTAATATCCCAAAACAGAAATTTAAGTGCAACTCCGACAAATAAAAAAAAAATGCTACCGCCATAGTGGGGTGTAGTACAGCTGAAGTAGAATTCTCAGTTTATGCTTATTATATGCAACCAAAGAATTAACAAAGAATCTACACCAATCAGCCATGACATTATAACCACACGCCTAAGATTGACTAGGTCCCCCTTTTCCTGACCCGTCCAGGCATGGACCCCACTAGACCTCTGAAGGTCTGCTGTGGTATCTGGCACCAAGCCGTCAGTAGCAGATCCTTTAAGTCCTGTAAGTTGTGAGGTGATCGGCCTCCATGGATCGGACTTGTTTTTCCAGCACATCCCACAGATGATCGATTGGATTGAGATCTGGAGAATTTGGAGGACAAGTCATCACCTCAGACTCGTTGTTGTGATCCTCAAACCATTCTTCAACCATATTTGCAGTGTGGCAGGGCGCATTATCCTGCTGAAAGAGGTCACTGCCATCAGGGAATACCGTGTCCATGAAGGGGTGTACATGGTCAGTAACAATGTTTAGGTCAGTGGTACGTGTCAGAGTAACATCCACATGAATGGCAGGACCCGAGGTGTCCCAGCAGAACATTGCCCAAAGCATCACATTGCCTCCATCGGCTTTACTTCTTCCCATAGTGCATCCTGGTGCCATCTCTTCCCCAGGTAAGTGACACACACACACCCGGCCATCCACATGATGTAAAAGAAAATGTGATTCATTAGACCAGGCCACCTTCTTCCATCGCTCCGTGCTCCAGTTCTGATGCTCATGTGCCCATAGTAGGCTCTTTAGACAGTGGATAGGCATGGGCACCCTGACCGGTCTGCAGCTACACAGCCCCATGCACAACAAACTGCGATGCTCTGTGTGTTCAGACACCTTTCTATCAGAACCAACATTACATTTCTTTTAGCAATTTGAGCTCCTGCAACTCTTCTATTGGATCGGACTACACGGGCCAGACTTCGCTCCCCACGTACATCAATGAGCCTTGGCTGCCCATGACCCTGTGGCTGGTTTATTGTAACAAGATAAACACAATAGAAGTCACACAAAATTCTATTATGCAATCAAGTTCTTATGTGATGCAATATAAATGCAATAAAGACCACACAAAAACAACTAACAGAGTGTAAAGTCCTTGTGTGATATCAGCATGTCGCCAGTGGTGTCACAAGGGGGGTGCGGCCCACACCCGGGTGACACCATTGGAGGGGTGACACCAAAATGACTCAGTCAGTTTGGTGTCACCCCCCTCTGGAAAGTCGGGCGCTCGGTCATGGACCGAACGCCCGACAGTATCAGGAGAGAGGAGTGGACCCGGCGGCATACTTTATCCCGCCGGGTGGCTGTCTCCTCCTCTCTCTGCCAGCGTCCATCACCAAGATGGCCGCCGGCAGGTATCAGAATACTGCCGCGCGTGCAAGGTGACACTCGGACACCGCTCCGGGTGTCACCCAGCCTCGGGACGCCCCTGCATGTCGCACTCCATATTCACCACCTCTATGGCGTGCGTGACAAGGATATTCCTTCTATGTGATATAAATGCTGCACCCGGCGAATCCCAAGCCCACCACCTTCTAGAAAGCAGACCCACCACAAGGTTAAATGCGCATGACAATTTTCCACTGTTTAGTGTCCGCAGGAGCCCGATATAAAACTCCCAATGGTCAATATCTCCAGTCAGAGCTGCCCTCCCTGATATCCCATCCAATAATTTGTGCATCAAAGAATGTCAACATGGAGGTTCAAATCTCTGCGCATGCCAGGGTTTAAAGAACTTCAGGTTTTAGAAAAATTAACCCTTGCAGTGGGGCTACTTCTGCACTGTAGGGGTTAACGGTTCGTTTAGGTCTAGGGGTGAAAATGAAGAAGAAATACCCAATACTTTTTCCTGCTGTGCTGCTAGACCGGCCCCCACAGCCTCTTCTCCTCCGGGCTCCAGCTTTCTAAGGACCAGTGACATCATCACCAGTGATGGGCTCGGGTGTGTTCGCAGCTCCACGTGCCGAGCCCGCCAGGAAGCTGACAGCACGCAGCGCCAATCATAGGTACTGAGACATTTCCCGATCTCTGCAGCTGCGGACCGGGACAATTAAAGTCCTTAAAGAATTCAACATTAAAATGTGTCATATTTTGGGGATGGTGATAAACATAGGTGTGTGCAGCCTATTGCATTAGGTTGTGCACAAAAAAGTGCAAACACATATGAGTATGTAGATATATATATCATATACATACACAGATCCCATCTCGGATTGCCATCTCTTCAAATGTCCTTTACCTCTTCCAGCAGGGGCGCAGTAGTGAAGCAGGGAGCCTGGCAGATGGTCATGTGACCACCCATCTGGCTTCCAGATTGGATGGGAAGCTGCAGCCACGCTCCCTCACAGCTTCTCAGACACTAAGGACTACAGCTGTTATGTGAGGAACATAAGTGGCAAGTGCTGCTGCGCTCTGAATCGCTGGGCCGTTCACAGAGAGGTCTCTGTGATCTCTCCACCGGCTCAGTGGCGAAAAACATGGCGCCTGCTGCTGCGGCTTCAGTATTGCACTCAGGTGATTGGGGTGTGCCCATGCACTACCGGCACACCCCCTGCGTACGCCTATGGTGACAAAATAGAACATTATGAAGAAGCTGGATATTCCTCCCTCTACTGTTGTTAACATCTGTAGGGCCTGCATGCCTGTGCAGAGTCCTGCTCCCAGGAGGATGCAGTTGCATGTGACTACGGCTGCTTTGTGAGGAATATAAGTGGCAAGTGCTGCTGTGCTCTGAATCACTGGGCCATTCACAGAGAGGTCTCTGTGATCTGTCCACTGACTCAGTGGCTAAAAAACATGGCGCCCGCTGTTGCGGTTTCAGTATTGCACTCGGGGGTGATTGGGGTGTGCCCAGGCACACCCGGCGCACCCCCTGCGCGCACCTATGGTGACAAAATAGAACATTATGAAGAAGCTGCATATTCCTCTGTTGTTAATATCTGTAGGGTGTGCATGCCTGTGCAGAGACCTGCTCCTGGAAGGATGCACTTGCACGTGGCTACACTAGGGTTGCCACCTGTCCCGGATTCACCCGGACAGTCCGGGTTTTGAATACTGTGTCCGGGTTTCATGGCAGCAGAAACCCGCACACAAGATATCAAGCAGACAGGGGCAACCAAAATTAAGATAGGGGCTACTAGCCCCCCACTGAAAATAGTCTCAACTGTGATATTTACATATGAATTGTATGAGCTATTTACATATGAATAAGCCACAACTCATACTCCCCAAAAAATTTCCATGCGTCGCTAGAGTGTTCGGGTTTCGCTTGAAGAAAAGGTGGCAACCCTAGGCTACACGCTGATCCGATCCTGGGTCCGGTTGCGCAGGTTCAGAGTGCAGCTGCGTCCTCCAATAGGGATATATAGGCGGCTGCACACAGTTATACACACAGCACCCTGTCCCTCCCAGGAGCAGGTTTCTGCAGAGGCGCGCATGCCTTACCGATGTGCACGCCCGCATGAATGAGCCCTAACTGTGTATTTAGCCGTCTGGCCGGAGGACCGCTTTAAGATGAAAACATACAGGGTTATTCACAAAAGGGTGGAGAGTTTGGAGAAGGCCGGAGAAGTGAACACTCTAGGACACCATAGCTGACATGGGTAGTGAGCAGGATTGGAGAATTTTTCCAAATCAGCTATTTTG